AAGTATATCAAAACAATGTAAAACCATTCAAGAGAATGGCAACCTTACAGAGTATTTAGAATCGACTAACAGAAAATGAACAATGGTTTCTGTATAATCTCCTTGTCTTTAAAAGGTTTTTGCTTATACTATCGTACATAATAAAATCCAATAAGATACAGCCTATTTAGACCATTGGAGACAGAAGAACAAAAGCTAGATGAGACTTCAAAACAAGATGATACTAAATCAGTATTACCTATTAAGATGTCATTTTCTCCAAAATAGCTGTTCCTATCATCCAATCTTCTCTGCCTCATTTCTGTTGAGCTCTTTTTCTGTCAGTAGCTGTCAGTTTGTCTTCTTCATTTTGTTCTCTGCTCCATTCGTTGTGGCCTCCCCGCCACTATTTCTGGGTTCTTTGTATTTTTCTTTTTTTAGAATATCCTGCAATACTTTCTGTAGAGTTGAATTGGTGGTTGCAAATTCCCCCAGTTCCTCTTTATCCTGGAAGCACCTTGTTTTTCCATCAATTTCCAGGGACAGTTGTGCAGGATATCTCAATCTTGGCTGGAGATTATTATCTTTCAAAGCTTGAATTATTTCCCCCCACGCTCTTCGTGATTTGATGGTTTGTGCAGAGAAATCTGCTGTAATTCTGATGGGTGTTCCCTTGTAAGTGGTCTGTTTCTTGTCTCTGACAGCTTTTAATATTCTGTTCTTGTATTGAATTTCTGGAATTTTTATTATTATATGCCTGGGTGTTGCTCTGTTTGGGTTGTAGGTAGCTGGGGTCCTGTATGCCTCATACATCTGAGTATCTTTACCTTTTGCTAAATTAGGAAAATTCTCCTGGATTATTTCTGTGAGTAGCTTTTGTAGTTCACTTGTTTGTGTCCCTACTTCTTCTTTTATGTTCTTAATCCTCAAGTTATGGATCCTCTTATCATCTTCTTGTCTTTGTATTATTGCTGTTTGTTTCTTTGTTATTTTTAAGAAGTTTTTCATTTCATTCTCCCATATTACAAGTCTGCCCTCCAGTTCAGATAGTCTGTCCTTAGTTTCTTTCAAGCTGTTATGCCAGTCTTCGATAGACTTCTTAGTATCTTGGTAGTCCCTTTGAACCTGCTTCATGTATTCTATGCTTTCTCTGTTTTCTCCATCAAACAATTCTCCCCTTTTTTTCTGTTCTTCCATTCCACCACCTGTTTTTCCTTGGGTGGTACTTAGCATTTCTCTAACTATTCTGCATACTTCTAGCTTCAGGTCGTTGATAACTTCATTCCTGAATTGGTCTATGAGGCTCTCTATATGGTGCCTTATGTGTATTGGTGCGGTGTCTGCTATTGCCTGTTTCTCAGAATTGGGGGCCGAGGAGCCTTTCTTGTTGCTGCCTCTTCCCATGCTGCCTCTTCTTCTCTGTTCCTTATATATGCAAGCTTATATAAGAGGCCCAGCTTCTCTCCCAGTCAGCCACAGCCTGATCGAATTGCGCCAGTTAGGTGTTCCCGCTCACCGCTGCGCACCAGGGAGTTACGGACCAGGCAGCCTACGCATCTCCCCTCCTGGCCACCGTCAGGCTCTGGGATCTGGGTTGGGACAGCCTACCGGGTCCGCCGGCAGCTTCACGCAGGCCAGGCGCTTTTCACCAATCCCGTCCAAGAGGGGGATGTATGTCTGGAGTCGCCACCGCGCCCTGCTCCCGCAGGACTGCTCGGCCCAGAAAGTCCTCTGCTGGAGTCAAACTGTGGTAGAGTGTCAGTTTCTCTCACTCACCTCACCACAAGTCAGTGCACGCCTCCCTGCCGTTCGCAGATTGCCGTTCTCAGAGCTTCTGCGCGTCTCTCTCCTTGCCGAGCCGATGTAGAGGCAGCCAGCCGCTGCGCGGCGGGAAACCCAAATCGCGACTTACAATGGCGCGGGGTCCAGCCTCCACACCTAGGCTTTTCTGTTCCTGTTTTAGCACCAGGACTGCATTCCAAGTTGGTTTCTCTCAGCCCAGTTCGTTCCTGAGTCAGCAGAGCATATCTCCACCTGCTTATGTCTTCTTAGTCCGCACCATTCCTGGCTTCTGAGCCTAGTCTTTCAGAGAGCCTCCGGTAGTTGCTGTTATCTGTCCGCCATGTTCTCCCTGCCAGTTCCATTTATTCAGGGGTCTGGACCACTGTTTGGCATGTTGCCATTTGGTTACACTCCACCTCACGGCACTTAACGCTAAGGGGCTTCTCTGTCCTTCTGTGGACTGCAGTCATGAATGTGTTAAAGTTTTGAGAGACAGAAAGACCAGTGGCTGCTACTTTGTTTTCTCGCGCTTCCTCCATCTATGAAATGTTCTGATAGATCTGCAGGAAGAGATTTAGTTGCAGATGGCAGAGGTCAGTGTCTTGTGTATTCAATGTAGTCAATAATAAAGTCAGGACTTATGCTAACCGAATGCTAATCAGGAAGCACAAGGACCTTGGAAAGTCATTATGTCTGGCCGTCGCTTCATGATATTACTCCAGCAGGCTCAGGAGGCCAATGCAAGGAGACTTTTAAACAAGTATCAAGAAAAGGCCAGAAAAATAAGGAAATGATTGAAATGCTACATAGATCCTGAGATTCATGTGATATACTACAGTAGAAGAAGGAGAATTTTAAATGGCATTTCTTTGTAGCAGAAGGAATACTATTATTTCCTATTGAAGGAAATCTGGTCTTCACTCAAACATAAATGTTCTATTTTTCTTGCCTAAATAGTATGATTTCTTCTAAACATATAATAGGTTTCTATGGGTGCTAGTTATAGGCCCTTTGAATGAAGTTGCTAACATACGCCTGTAGCACTCCTCATGGGAAGACATTCCCGCATCCCTGCATGTGGCTGGGCAGGCAGGGAGGAGCAGAGCTGAGAGCATGGTACGGGGATGGGTCTAAGGATGAGCCAACACACAGCTCCCATCTCTGCACCGTCCTCCGAGGCGTCAGCTCTGCATGACCGCTGACTCTCTGTCTATACATTTGGGCCAGACATGGTTTCCCCCTTTGCCTCTTTCTAGTCCTTTGTTCTTTATCTTCAGGGAACATTTATTCCCCTAAAGCAGGGAAAGAAGCTATGTGGCAAAAGTTACATACAACAACTGTGAAGACAATAAGATTCATTATGATGCCCATTCTGGTTGACTATTATCTTCTTTTAAAGTCCTGTAAAGTCTCCAATACTTTGGTTGTATTCGCTACTGTTTTGTTCAATTTTATTATAACTGATGACATAGGTAATTCTTCTTAAGATTGCAAGAGGCAATATGGTAACCATTGTTGATCACCTTGTATTTTGTTTTTACATTATCTATTATGTCTATCCTTTTGATTTGACTGACTCTTTTCTGATATGTCGCATTTGGTTTTACTCTCTTCAAAAAAAGTAATAAGAACTGTGGAAGTAATAAAACCCAAAATGTGTACTTGTCATTGTACAAAAGAAAAGAAGGTGTTCTAAAGGTTACAACTGCATATATGTTTGAGTGTATAAGATGGATAACCATATTACTGAGTTTTTTTGGATCATTGAACAAAACTGTTTGCACTCTCAATGTTTGAAAGTCCACTTTATATGCTTCAATTTTGTTACTTGAACAACTATTTCTAAGATGAGAATATGTAATCTATTAACTAGTAATTTCTTACTGTTTATTTTTTAAATTTTGTATTACTTGTACCCTTTCTGTTTTTTTTCTCCTTAAATAAAAAAAAAAAAAGAAAAAATTACACACACACATAAGTAGAAAAACCTTGTCAGCAGGCAATGAATGATAAGGCCCACAGGGAAGCACTGATTGCTGCCTGTCCATAAAGAGATAATGTTCCTCTAGGTGGGCCAGTGAGATCTTCCCCCGTGTTATTCTCTATGTGCAAGAAGTCGTTACTGCACAGGCTTTGCTAATTGACTAATGTTAAAAGATAAACACATAATGTTAGACCTTAAAATCATTTTAGCATTTGTCCTGTTTTCTCTTGCTATTTTATATATCTGTGCACTCACCCATTTACCCATCCTCCCACTCCCATCTACCCATCCACGCATCCATCCATTCACCTGTTTATTCTTAAATCAGCTTGCTGTGATTTCTAAGAGTATTTGCCGTCTGTTTGGAAGTTCTCATCTTCTTGGATCATAGACTTCTACCATTTTCCTCTGCCCTTTCTGTGCTGCCGGTGGCAGCGCACATGCCTTGTGGCTATTGGTAGTGTACCCCGCTTGTTTTATTTGGGATTCGTGTCACCTGGATCTTTACTGTTTAACTTTGTTGTAAATATAGCCTGTAAGTTTCTGCTCTGCTGCCCTGTTGCTCTAAATTTTTGAAGAGGAGAGTTGAGGACACTGCTTTGGCACTGTCCCTTCCTCAGATCTACTCTAATTCCTTTGAAGAACAAACTTGAAAGCCTTTGTGAGCTTTTCTATTAAAAGGACTGGCTCCCCGTTCCATTGGAGCAAAGTATCCTGGGATCCCATCAGGACTTGGCTTGAAGTAACAGGTTGCTCTAGACCTGTGGGGCTTTCCCCCCGAGAGGGACTCACAGTGGCTGATTTTTAAATTTCACTTTACATGGCGTGTTTTTGGAAATAGTGTATCAGTATGCACTTCAGGCGGGGCTTGAACTCACTAGATCGCCCAGGCTGACCTCAGACGTGTGGTGATTCTCCTGCTTCAGCCTCCGGAGTGTGGCATTACAGTCATGGCCAGCTCACTCTCAGCTCTTTTCCTGCTCAAGCACTATATGTCTATCCTGGACCCTTTATAACGTATGTCACTCCTTTGGCTAGCTACTTAGTTCTTATATTTTTTTGTCATTATATAAAACTTCAATATGAACTTTAGACTTATTTAGGCTGGAAGTTCAGCTTTAATAAAACTCAAAACACATATATATGACTTATAGAACATAAATGTGATATATACATCGTAAATGCATATGTATATATATAGTAACTCATATGGTATACCTAGTTACTTTATAGAATTTCAGTGTTGAAGCATATTTGCATATCCTCTAACAATGTTTTTTTCTTGGCATTACTGGCATTTGGGGCCAGATAATTATTTGGAGACTGTCTAGTACACTAAAGGTAATAATTTGTCAGCTTACCTGGCCTCTACCCACTAGATGTCAGTAGCACCCCCCAGTTGTCCACCCCAAATGTCTCCAGAGAATGCCAAATGTCCCTGGTGGGAGTGGGAGGGTGGATGCCAGTGGGTGGGGGGTGCTGCTATTGAGAACCCCTGGTCTCACAGTTTTCTCCCTGTATAGTTGAAGAGCAGGCAGAGAGGAGCAATTATGTATACACAAGTTTGCACCACTGTTTTCTAGACTTTCCTGGAGGACATAATCACAAAATACGGGTAATTATGTCTACTAATACTTTATAGTTTGAAGCAGAATGTTTGCATGTTTGGAGATGAGAGTGTCGACTTTTAGGGACCAGATTATTATGCAGACAGCCTCTCCTGTGGGTAGGGACTACGCAAAGAGCGCTCACTGTTGGCTCCTGGAATGCAGACGAACACTCCACAGGCAAGCGTTTAGACTTCGAGGGGAACTGGAGAGTCGTTGTTTAGACAATGGGATCCTGTGGGCTTGTCGATTTCTAGTAAGAGCATTATTTTGAGATTGCCTTCTCTTTTGGAATTTCCTTTGATGGCGTTGGCCAAGATGAAGAAGAAAAATACTATTAAGTATTCACCATCACTAAAGACTACTGGGAAGGCAGCCAAACTGGCAAAGGAACAGAAGGCTACTAGCATCTTTTTAACTAGTGGGAAGAATACTAAATTCACTTTGGTAATACCTTTTTCTGTCACCATCTGCTAGAGATCTAGACAATATACTATTGCAAATCCTGCCTGACAACTGGCAGAAATGAGGGAGAGAAAGAAAGAGAGAGATAAAAGGGAATAAAAAGATGATGTACATTAATAAATTTGGCAAAGGTTTTGTTAAATATATCTTAATGGTAGCATCACTAATTCTTTTGGTGTTTTATCAAATAATGTCTTACTATTCACATGTTTTTCCTAAAAGTGTACATTTTAGATATACTAGAAGAAGAATGTGAGGGAGACTTTCTTGTTTGTGGCAATAAAGCTGGCCTATATAGTTTCATAGATGATTTTAGGGTGTGTTGTGGTATATATGCATGAAATATATTTTTAGATTCAACAGATTTTCTCTCTAATGCTATTTGTAGCTGTCAGCCAATGGAATTACCTTATCATCTCCAGGTGTGACATTCAAATGTGGATTTTCAAATCGATTGGTGTGGGAGCCCCTGGTGAGGGGTGAAACACCCTTCCTGTGTGTCTGCATGGGGCACTGTGGATGTTACAGCTCCCGCTGGCTGCTTCCTCTTTGGAGCTCCCCCCTGCGCCACTTCCTGGCCACCATGAAGTAAGCAGCTTGATGTACAAAGTCCTTTAGCCATGGTGTTCCTGCCTCGGAGCCAGCCCACTGGATCCTCTGAAACTGAGCCGAGTAAGCCTGTTCTCCTCATGGTTGTGGGTGTTGGGTATTTTGTGCTGGCAATGGGAAGGTGGACTGAAGGACTGGGTGTTCTTTTCCATGTCTGTCTCTCCCACTGGCTTTGTTGTATCTCCGGGGCAGGGAAATGCTTGATTGGACTTGGTACTTCTGCAATTACCTAGCATGCTACCGGGCTCATCCAGGATGACCTGTAATGACTGCAGCATCGGCTTGCTAGGTTCTGCTGCCTTCCCAGCCACCAGCTCTTTCACCTGGAAATGTTAGCAGCAGCCTGACTGTGCCCTCACCGTAGCTATTCGGGATGCAACGAATTTTTCACAGAATCTGTTCCCACTTGCCATAGAAGGCAGGGCATGAATGAGCTCTAGGGCAACTTAGGAATCCGAGGGACTTTTAACGTTTTGTTAACATGGACTGCGGATCCAGACAGACCTACGTATGAACCTTGGTTTTGCTGTCTGCTAGTGTTGCCTTGGGGAAGTTTCATAACTTTTAATGCTTGACTTGGAAGTGCTCAGTAAATATACTGTAAGTGAATTCATGGTATGTAAGCATCATTTCTGTTTTCCTTAAAATGGAGTAGATAGACAGTGCTGTTAAAGTATTCATCTGGCACACTCAGGAGGAAGGTAGAGAAGTAATTAGATGTTTCACAAACAGACTGTTGGGTATTCACCTGCCATTTGTGTGCCCTTTCTATATATTTGTAATTACTTCTGACACACACACACACACACACACATGTATATAATTTTAGGCATGATTAGCACATAAAATTATTTTGTATTACTATGACTTCCTTTGTTTTCATGCATATGCTTAATTTTATCATCACAGCAACTATGTAGAGTCATCAAGGTTATCATCCACATTTTCTTCAGAAAGATATCTGAGGCCCAGAAATTATTTGCTTTACCTGAAGTTACAGCACTGAGACTAGAACCTAGATTTTCTTAGAATCTTCCAGGCTGTGCCCAATGCCCTGTTATTTTCTTAGTGAACAGGACTTCTAAAATGAACCGAACATTTATTTACCTCTGCACCCCAGGTCCTTTTGATGAAATGCAAAGGGCAAGGGAGTAGAGCCCCAAGTTATTGGGTGGCTTTTATGCTAGGCCATTTAAGTGACTTTTTGATCTCCTCAGTGGGTTTGTGGATGGAATGTGGAGGGAGAGAAACAAAAAAGTAGCCCCTTAAGCCCAACAGCTGTGTTTGTGTTTGCAGCTGGTCTTGTGCACACAGTACCACTGAGAGACAGAATAGCTGGTCTCGTGGCTGTGAGCAGGTTGGGGTGAGGGCAACACAGGCTCCTTTGTGGGCATTTAGGGGGCTTTCTGAAGCATGAGAAGAGTTAAGGAGAAACACTAAACTCTTACTCAAACTACAATTCTCCAGTTTGAAGCATGACTGTCTCTTCTTTTAAAAATAATAGATGAGTTCATGCCTGACAAGCTCCAGGATATAGGCTGGCTCTTGTAGGGTTGCTGGAGGTGAACTGGCTGCTGATGGTTTCAACTGGCATAGAATATTGGTTTCAAGTGTGGATTATGGAGCTAATTGGGCATTTACCAGGTCTAGGTGCTTTGGATATAGTGGTAGGAAAATAATCTCTCATTGCAATGAAGTTTACATATTAGGAGGAATAGAAAAATAAATAAAATCAATAAGTAAACAGTATAATACATTAGAAGGTTACAAGTGTTATGGAGAAAAATTTGCCTGGCAAAGGGGTCCACTACTGGTATTTTCCTTTCTTGTCTGCCCCATGGTAAAAGTTTTATGATGCAATTTTTTATGCTTAGCTTCTAATTCTTGATTCTCCCCCACTAACCCCTTTTGTTTCTAGGGCAGAGTGTAGGTCCTGAGGTTCGCATCTGGTGGGAGTTTGATGTCTTCAACATGGCAAGGATTCAGGAGTAAATGGAGAAAAGCAAAGGAAGACGAGGAGATGAAAATCCCTGACAGGTAAGTAGGCACAAAAGCCCACACTAAACTTCCGCTTTCTTTGCTTTCTTTCACATATATTTAATACCCCTGACATTGGATTAGCTCCAACTTGTCTAAGACTCAGTTCCAGCTATAGAAAATCTTACTGCCTGGCAGAATGCTATTTATAATCTCCATACGGTCCTTTTTTCTATTCAAAAGAAACTTGGGCATCTGCTGTCTGAATGAAATAAACACAGCCAACACAGGGAAGTCCAGACCAAGGAAAGGCAGAGTCTGCACAGATACCAGGGCTGACATTCAGAGACCTCTGGGTCTTCCAGCAGTCACAGCTGAAGGGAGGCTATGCACCAACTTACTCCGATAGGTGAAGCCTTTCTTACGTCGGATTTCTTATGGAAATTCTCACACTGGACAGGCAGTGAGGGCCTGGGACGATGTTGTCACTCGCAGCGGTAGAGCAGATGTGAATCTGTTGTGGGATGTGCAGGAATGGTCTTCCTTCAGTTTCTCCCCATCATCCAGTGAGTTCCCTTTGCTCCACTGCAAAGACAGGTGGGAGCTCAGGGCTGTGGAGAGAAAGGAGGATGATTTCTGTGGCCGATTCCCCATCTTTCATCTACTTTCAGCCCTCTCTCCATGCTACCAAACAGTTTTGGCCGTGCAGTACACTAGGATGTTTATCTTGCCTAACCACACAAGGCACATGATCACACTTGCCACGCAAGCACACACCACGCACATCCCCTCAAGAAGTTCCCCCAAAGTCCCTGAGCAATATTTTCTCTTGTAGTGCATTGCTCTGATTTTTAAAATGCTATCAGTTCATTTTTAAATTGTTGCTTGTCACCAACTAAAAAATTAATTTCATGACTCACAAATTGGTCACGACCTGTGATTTGGATATCAATACCCTGAATCATTTGTTCTCAGCGCAGACAGCTGTTCAGACTTTACTTATTTGTGTCCCTAGACGATGTAATCACATCCATTGAAGTGTGTGTGTGGTAAAATGTGATTCTAGTGTGCCCCTTATCATCCTCAGTCAAGTCAAAGTGACAAAATTATAGGAAAAATAAACCAAAGGAAGAGAAGAAGGGAAAGAGAAGACGGAGAATTCTTTCTGTGCTTTAGAGCACAGCTGGTCTCTTCTGTTCCAGGGAGTACCAGCTCCTAATAGAAGAAAGTTCTGGATTCCAGTTAACATGAAAGCTGGATGTGAGGGCACACGTCTGTTATGCAAGAACTCTGGTAGGCTGAGGCAAGAGGTTCAATAGTTCAGCCCAACCTGGGCCACTCAAGTGAGATCCTAAGTTAAAAACTAAAATTCTACACATACAGATAGATGAATGAAAATTAAAAAAGAAGAAAGGGAAAGGGTCTGGGATATGCTTAGTACAAAGAACCTGTTCAGTACCCACTAACACACACACACGATAGGAGTAACTGCACTACAGTTCTCAGGAGGCATGCCGAATATATTCATGGAGTAAAAATGACACTAAATGTAAGGCAAGTTCACCCTACTTAAAGCTGGCCCTTTCATCCTTTGTGTGTTTAAGAAAAGTTTTTCTTTAAAGTCTGAGTTCCAAATGCAGTAGCATGCAGGTTCTTGAGTGCAGGTAATAAGGATCGACTGCAGCTATATTTCTACCTCCATCTAGATGCCCAGTGACCTGGAGAGTCTAGTCTAAGTGTTCCTGGAGTTTAATTTCCTATGATGCATTGCAACAGTGTAGGGAGTGGCTCAGAATGGCTGCCGCTGTCCTGCCCCTCCCACCTGAGGGCATTTTCTGTGTCAGCCTACATTTCCCATGATCCTCCCCTTGCCTACAATGCACATGACATAAGCATCTTCCTGCTTCAGCCTACATCTCCCATAATCCCCCCTTGTTGACATCACTTCCACTTACCTATGTGCCTACGTATGACTTCCTGCTAGTCTGATAGGCCCAGGGCATATGAGGAGATCCAAGCCGGCCCATCCTATAAAGCCACATCCCCTTTGACTCTATATAAGCCATGTTCACTTCCTGAATAAAGGGACTTGATTGGAATTGGTCAACTTGTCCTCATCTCTCTTTTTTCTTGCCCAGCCCTCCATCCCCTTCCCCTTTCCAGGTGGGGCCTATGGACCGATCCATGGGCTGGATCACAGCAGGGTGGCCAGGATCTCTGCAGACAGGATCTGCATGGCAGAGAAACACACCAAGTCCAATACAGGGCAATGATCTCTCTGGGCTTTCAGCCTAGGCAAACAAAGCAGATGGTAAGTGTGAGCCATGCCATATTTTATGTCTATCATATTTGATACCCAGAGCAATCAACCTTTACTAACTTTCCTTCATGTGAGAAAATAATTTCCAGTTATAATTCTGAAATGAAGCAAAAATGAGTTGAAAAGAAATGTAGTTGATGTTTTGAAATTGATCTTGATCAGTATAATCATGCTAGTAAAAAATAAAATTAAAAACTTAAATAAAATAATAACATAGTACAAAAAAGAAAGAACTGTAGGTGAAAACATTTAATTACAGCAAAGTTTTAAAGTCCTTTATGTCACAATAATGAAAATTGACACTATAACTTCAGTTTGTTCTTAAAGCCTATCTTCTGCAAATTTGTCAATGACATTGTTAAAACTGTTCTCGATATATTCATGCTCAGAGTCACTATGGTCAGATATATTCATCTATCTTTGCTCATAGTTGATTGAAGGGCTTTTTTTATTAAATTACAATTTGAAACCCTTCTTTCTTATGAAGAAGCAGATATCTAAAATAGGCAAGGGCTTAAATGTAATAAGACTTGTTGGAAATTCTTAAATGATTCCATTTCACAAAAATAATTTCAGAAATTTCAATAGTATTCATTTTGTTTTTCTTTTATTTCAGTTTTAGAAGTTTGCAAATATCTCTGCAGTCCAAAAATTTCCACTGAAAATCTTTAGTGATGGCTTTATTTTAAATTTCTATCATTCAGTGATATCTGAGACATTTTGTCTTTTGCAAAAATACAAAATTTTCTAAACAGTAGTGAGCATCAACACCACTTAACTCACTGCTGGGTACTGAGTTACATAACTGAACTGACTCAAGTTCTGTTTGTTTGTCTTTAAAATTACTGTGCTATTAACATTTATTAAGAAATTACTTCTTAAAGAGATATGTGTATAACACCAGGCATTGGAGAATCCAGAATGTAGCAAGCTGGAGCTAGTGTGTGAATTAACTGCTGTGTATAATATGATATTTATCAAAGTGCAGTGCAAATGTAATGCTTGGGAGCTTGTGCTAACATTCAGTACCACCTGATGTGTAGTACTGATGGTGCATCATACAAAGCAGACCAGCTGTATCTGTGTTTCTGGGGATGCCATGGGTGGAACCCAGGGTCTTGGGCATGCTTGGCAGGTGCTCTACCACTGAGCAGCATTTCCAGCTTCCATGGTTTCCTTGTTCTCTGTTAAGTTCTGCACAGGCTTTAACATTGCCTGCACGGGAGTGGACCATCAGTGCAGTCTCACTTCTATAAAACACCCTTGGGAACAAATCTTGGTGAAGATTTGAAGATTTGGTGTCTGAACTGTGTCCCAGTGTGACAGTTACCCACTTCTGTCCTCCCTGGCACCCCAGATAGATTCAGCAACTCAACCCTCTCAAGTTTCTCCTCTTCCTGAGCTCCAGTGGCACGAGTCTAACCTGGGACTCTATCACTTCTCTGTGAGCAGAGAGAGGGAGGTGGGTAGAGAGGAAAGAGAAAAATGAATTTAATCTCCAGCAAGGCATTTGCTACAAGGTACATAAATCTTCATTTTGTACCAAATTCCAAGCCTTGAGGTTCTGAGCTAGCAGCTGTTCTCTGTGGAGGGAAACTCATGCTTTGCTGTAGCCCAGTCTCAAGACAAGAAGTAGCGTGCGCAGTGTCCGAGGTTCCCAGCATTGCACCCCCAGTGTAACTGTGGGCCAACTACCAAGTACTCTGTGTGGAGTAACCTCCTCACTAAGGTGGGATCATAACAGTGTCTGCCTCACAGAAGCCCTGTGGAGACTAAATGGGATCGTGTATGCAGGCTGCCTAATCTATGCCTCATGGATACAAGAACACTCAATAAAAATTAATTAGGGGTTTCACTCTTTTACCAGAGAAAGGCCAACCAAAAAAGAGAACTACAGACCAATCTCTCTAATGAAAATAGATGCAAAAATCCTCAGTAAAATACTGGCTGGCAAAATGCAGCAAGTCATTGAGAAGATTATACACCAAGACCAAATGGGATTAATTCAAAGAATGCAGGATGGTTCAACATACAGAAATCAGTAAATTACATCATCATCTCAACAGATGAAGAAAAAGCTTTTGGCAAAGTCCAACACTTATTCATGATAAAAACCTTACATATAATCAGAGTAGATGATCTTTACCTCAATCTGGTAAAAACCATCTATGACAAACCAACAGCCAACATCCTTCTAAATGGACAAAAACTGAAAGCTTTCACTTTAAAATCAGGAAAAAGACAATGATATCTACTAACATCACTCCTATTCAATATAGTTCTGGAAATATTAGCCAGAGCAATCAGACAAGAGAGAGAAATAAGAGGAATAAGGATAGGAAACAAAGAAGTGAAATTATCATCATTTGCAGCAGCATATAATGATCATTAAAGGCATGAAAGAGACACACAAGTGAATATAGACATTTCTTTCACAGGCTTATTAAGTGCTGCAAAAATTTTGTTTCTGAGACTGACTTGATTCTAGTTTAAGTGAAACCTGGTTTGTCCTTCTAGCAATATATTTTTAAAGGCTCCATCATTAGATATTCTGACTCTAGGTCCATGGGACTAGACTGGATCTGAGTCCAAATGACAGGAGGATCTTGAACCTCAAGTTAGCTTTATTGTGCACCAAATCAAATTTTTGTGAAAACCATCCAGGATCCTTTGTGTGCCTTTTGGAAGTGACCACACCATTAGGAATTCTGATTGTGCTGCTCTAACTGGCATTTTTGAGGGTGAGGGCTTTGTTCTCTCTTTCATCTGTGTCTGTCAGAGGTTAAGTGTCAGAAGCTGATGTAGGTTCACTGCCATGTTAAGTCCAAAACAGTTTGTCTCAGGAATAGGGAATACAAAACTCAAAAGGCATATTTCAATGGAATTTGATACACACTGTATTTAGGGTTTACACATGAGAGAATGTCATTTTTAAAATAATGTTTATCACTAGACACAAAAGAGCCTCTAACTGCTCTTTTAATTTAAAATACTTATTTAAATGTTTAAACCCTAAGAAAGACCATTTGTGCTTCTTCTGAGAAGTGTCTTCATTTCACTTACCCATTTTTGATTGAGTGTTTTATTCTGGGTAGTCTAATATTTTTTGAGTTCTTTACATATTCTAGATACTACTAGTCCTCTGAGGAATAACTGAAAAAATTTTTCCTATTCTGTAGATTTCTTTATCTCTCTGTTGATTATTTCCTTTGTTGTGCCAAAGCTTTTAAATTTGATCTGATCCCGTGAGTTGATTCTCAGTGCTATTTCTTGTGCAACTTGGCTTCTGTTCAGAAAGCCCTTGCTATGTCTATGACCTCAGGAGTTTTGCCTACTTACCTTCTAGCAAGTGCTTCTGTGCCAAAATTTAGATCTTCAAACAAACACGGAATAATGAAAAAAATCAAAGTATTAAGAATGAATGCTGCGCGTTTAAGGAGCAAAGATGGTGGATAGATAACAACTGGCTACAGAAGCTCCCTGAGATAGTCAACTTAGAATTCAACATCCCCAAACAGAGGGAGATAAATTCTCTCATCCCAAGAAGAAATTAAGGCTACTTGCCGACCATCGAGGTCCCGTTGCAACTGGCTGAGGCTGTGACTTGCTGGGGTCCCGCTGCAACTGGCTGGGGTTCCACCGTGACTGGCCAGGGTCCTTCCATGACTTGCCAGGGTCCCGCCGAGACTTGTCGAGGTCCCACCGCGACTTGGCGAGCCGTCTGAGGTCCCACTTCTTCAGCTCACTGGAGGCACAGTTACACTGAGTTCAAGGGTCAGCAAGCCGAACAGAGAGCTGAGTTGGTGGGGAGCCTACATGGACCTGTGGTGAGTGATGGAAGTGGAGCCATTCCATAAAGAGGGGGGCCCCAGTGGATACATTCTGGGACCCGGCAGGACTGGCACGTACAAGGGGCAGCAGTAACTTCAGTCAATTGTTCCCTTCTTGAATAGGATTGGTGGAGTGAGCTAGGCCTGGGTCATATGACCCAGTTGAGACCCAATACGTTATCTGAGGTCAAGTCCCTGCAGCGTTGGTGCACACTAACCACACTGGCCCAGTGAGGCCTCGGAGGTTTGGCTGCTCCGGAGGGGAGGTGGCACAAAGTAATACAGTAGTGCAGGCCACAGCAGCTTGCCTGATCTGGGGGGGGGGGGGGCTGGCATATGCTGTCCCTGTCTGCAACTCACTAGCACACTGCAGTGGGTCATCTAGCCAGCACACTTCAGAAGAATTGTAACCAACAGAGAAAGAAACTGGGGCGTCCTGGAAGAAGCAAAAAAGATGGGAAGAGGAAGAAACAACAAAAAGTCCCCAGGCCCCCAAACCTGAGAACACTGACCCAGGACAGGTAAATACAAAGACGAATGAGAACAGTAAACATACAATGTCAGACACAGCACCAGTGGACATAGAGAGATATATTTGGGACCGCATAGATGAGTTCAAAAATGAAATATTTAGCCAAATAAAGCAAGATATAAGAAGATTAATAAAAGAGATACTAAGCATCCCTCAAGCAGACACAGATGGAAGAAGGGAGGAACTCAAACACAGGAAAGAACCACTTGGTGAAGAATATAAAAAATATAGAATACATGAAGCAGATTCAAAGACATCACCAGGAAATTAAAAACTCTAAGGAAAGATGGCAAATCAGCTTGAAAGAAACTAAGGATAGATGATCCAAACTGGAGGACAATTTTACAATGTGGGAGTATGAAAGGGAAAACTTTTAAAAAATAACAAGGAAACAAGCAGTAACAATACAAAGGCTAGAAGATGACAAGAGGATCTATAACTTGAGAATAAAGAATATGAGTAAAGAATCAGGAGTACAAACACAGAACTACAAAGATTATACACAGAAATAATTGAGGAAAACTTCCCAAACATAGGAGAAGGACATGCTATTCTGATATATGAGGCATATAGAACTCCAGCCACCTACAACCAAAACAGAGCTACACCCAGTCATTTAATAATCAAGATCCCAGAAATTCAACATAAGAACAGAATATTAAAAGCTGTTAGAGACAAGAAACAGATAACCTACAGAGGAAGGCCCATCAGAATAATGGCAGACTTCTCGACACAAGCATCAAGTCAAGAAAAGCTTGGAGCAAAACATTTCAAGCCCTGAAAGAAAATAACCTCCATCCCAGAATGATATACCCTGCTAAACTGAAATTAATGGAGAAACAAGATGCTTCCAAGACTAAGAGGAACTTGAGAAATTTGCAACCACCAATCTAAATCTACAGAGAATACTGCAGGGCATTATATATAGAGAGAAAAGTACTAGGATTCAGTGGCAGGAACAGTGGCAGAGAGGCCTCAGTGAATGGAGCAAAAAACAGAATGAAGAAGATAAGCAGACAACTGAGCATAACAGACATGAGTCAGAGAAGATTTTATTCAAAACTGATGTGATTGATAGTATCAAGTCTGAGAGTATAGGCAACTACACTGAAGATGACAAGACTCTACGATACACATTCTTGTTTGATAACTGCCTGTTTTTGAAATTCTATACTATATACGCAGTTGTGTTTTTATTAATACTGTTATGTACTGACATATTCAGTTATACTATGTCTGATGATATAGCCAATTCTATTGGAGATAACAAGAGACAACACAGGAACTATGGTAGAACGATTTGTACAAAGGTCTTATATGTTTATTCCATTTCATGTGTTTATAGAAATATGGTTTGTTTTGCCTTGCTTTGTTTTGTTTCTCCCTCTAATATAGAAAGGATAGAAATACACGTTAAGACTCATGCATGTGTAGAATCTGTAAACAGTTTATGAGAACTGATCTTATGACACATGATGAAATGCACAGATACTTTGAAGAAAAAGAGACACTAAAATGCCCAGTGCTGATCCTGGAATGTCATAATGTGAAACCCATCAATAGTATTATTTTTTGTTCAGAGTGATATTAGCTTGCTTAGATTTATTCTATCTCAACATAATTGAAGATATGGATAACTGCATGTATGTTTAAGTGTATAGGATTGATAACCATATTTCTAAGTTTTTGATGGATTGTTGAACAGAACTGGTTGCAGTCTCACTGTTTGAATCCCCAGTTTATATGCTCCACTGTATTATCTTGAATAACTATTTGTAAGAGGACAATCTGTAATCATCAATTAGTGATTTCTTACTGTTTATTTTTTTCTCTGAAATTACATATTATTTCTACTTGTTTTCAGTTTTGTTTAGTCTTTCTTTAAATAAAATTAAAAAAAGAAAAAGACACTACAGTACCCAGTGCTGATCACGGAGTATCATGATGTGAAATCCAGCAATACTAGTATTACTAGTATTCTTTGTTCAGAATGATTTTAACCTGCTTTAGTTGTTTATTCTAAACATAAATGAAGTTATGGATAATTGCATGTATGTTTAAGTGTACAGGATTGACAACCATGTTGCTAAGTTTTTGTTGGACAGTTGAATAGAACTGCTTGTGGTCTCACTGTTTGAATTCCCACGTTGCATGTTCCATTTTTGTATCTTGAACAACTATTTGCAAAATGACAATATGTAAACATCAACTAGTGATTTCTTACTGTTTATTTTTTTCTCTGAACATATGTATTATTTCTACCTATTTTCTGTTTTGTTTAGTCTTTCTTTAAATAAAATTTAAAAAAAAATTATGAATGCCGTGATTTCTAACTAGCTAGCCAAACGGAACGCTTTAGGAGGCATCTCTGCACAAAGGCGCCTCAGGAAAACATTAATAATCTGCATTCTATTTTTTCGTGAACTTATAGGAAACTGGAAAATTAAAACATGTAAGACTTGGCACATCCATATTTATATGACGTATTAGAACAAATACATTTGCAATAATTAAAGAGCGCTTGAGAGGTACAGCTGACTTAGGCCACTGGTATAATTCCTAAAGATAAACCTTTAGATTCTGACTTGAATCATCTCAGTTTTTCTGATGGAAAGTAGAGAAGTTGAGGAGTCTCACACATATTTATTTCCTCCTGTTGCATAATGATTATTTATTCAGTATAATTCTGGAAGCCTTTATCGAGTACCTACTATCTGCCCAATTATCACGTACCTACTGTCCAGTGCTCTAGTTGACTCAAAATTAAATAAGATGCCCTGTACTCTGGTGACCAAGACATGTATTACTGGCTGTGACTGTAAACACGGGTGCTACGAGGCCGAAAGCAAGTCTATCTTGGCAGTTCACAGAGAGGAAGTTCTGCTGGTGTGAATTAGAGGAAGAAGTATGAACACAGGCCCATCTTGGAGGGTTTAGAGCTATGAGGTGGACAGTAGTGACTCTGAAGGGCAGGGCACAGGGCAAGCAGGTCACCGCAGGAGTTCCCTTAGTGTTAAAGGGTATTGCTTCTCTTCCACAGCAATGGAAGAACACCAGTGTTTACAAAACAGCATGACAGGCGAGCTAGTGGGGCGATTCCTGATGGCCCTGAGTCTCCTGGAGCAGTAAGTAGCAGAATTTCTGCTGAGCCTGGGAATTTGTTGTTGATGTTGGGATACTAAGGGCAGTGTAGTCAGGGGCTTACCAGTTGCGATGGGGACAGAAAAGGAAGTGACCAGCACTGAGTGAGGGTTCTGGAAAACTGCAAGTAGCGGAAGGTGGAAAAACATTACAAATTTATCATGCAGCCAATTAACACCATTGTACCAACTTTTTGTAGTGACATTCAACAATCAAGGTGAAGACAGTTGCATTGATATTATTGATAACTGCTAATTTCATAGGTACATGTTTTTGTGGCCTTCCTGGTCCCCCAAATGCCTCTAGTCATTCATCTTTCATGGAGATCCATGAAGAAAGCTAAAACGTGCTGGTGTGTCCTGAAGTGTAGGGGTGGAAATATTTTACCAAGAGCAGACGTGACGCCTTTTTGACAAGAGACAAATGTTTCATTCAAATGCTGCATTTCGCATATTGGAAACCGTAATGAATTCCCATGCACCCCTCTCCCCAGTTCACAGTGTCAGGCCAGGCATGGTGGGACCTCAGGCTTCCCTCACAAAATTAAATTTAATGCTACACCCTCCAGTAGAATGATGCATAAATCAAGCCTTTGATTTGCATGGACTGTAGCAAGCTGCTCCATTCTGCACAAATATAAACCCGACTCTGAATATTATGTCAGGGACAGGAACAAAGCAATCTAGGACTTCCAATAAAAGTAGGGTACCCAGTGTAATTCATGCTGATATTACACTGCTCTGTGTCAAGCCTGTTATTAAAACTCTTGTTTTAGCTTCCTTTTTTCATTTCAAAAGAAAATGTTTTTCTTGACCTTCCTGTATTCAGAAAACCAGTGCACAGTCCAACCAGTACTGTTTATAAACTGGTGTCCACAAGAGACACCGTAGATGCATCTATTTTCTTATTTCTGGCCTCCAGTGCGTGCTGAGTTATAACTTTCTTTGCTCCTATTCTTCCCATTGCAGAGGAGCTGACCTATGTTTTTAAACTACAAGAAAAATCACTGGGATCTGAAATGAGGGAGGCTTTGATAAGGAGCATTTTTAAAAATGCAGCATGAACCTGTTCCAAGTCCCCAAAGAGCAGAAACACATCGTGGTCCCGCGCATCTTCCACTCTGCACCAAGGCCCGGCATGTTTACCCTGGAAGGAGGTGGAGTCTGCCTTGTTCCTCATGCCAAATACCTTCCCATGAAACCACAGCTGACAAGAGCAAGTTGCCAGGTGAGCACGTGACCTTGGGAGCTGGGCAGATGACCTGGCATCTGTGGTATAATTTCTCCCAGCAGAACACGAACATTTGTGAGAATTTGGAATGCTCCAGGATCTGAATAAGTGAAAGGCAATGTCTGAGAAATGAATTTATGGCATCTTTAGGAGAGCAAATTAGGATTCATTCAGGCCCTTGTGAATGGAATATACATGAATATTAATTAAACGGCCACAATATGTTAGCCATTCTGCTCAGTAGCATGGGACACATAAAATGAATTTCAAGGAATTTACTGTTAAAGTTAAGGTATATGAGATCTGATAAAATACTGTGCAAGTTGAAAGTATCTGCCTTAAGATCCATAGATGTGAAGGAAGCATACGTTTCTAATTGAAGGAAACTAGGGAAGGCAGAGTGGGTGCAGTTTGGCCACGTGGGATGGAGCCAGGAAGCGGGGACTCCTGGATCGTGGAACCCCATGTATTGGTCACGGATAAGGAATAGTGGCTAGACCCAGCCTCTCCCTAGTGAGTGAGTGAATGAATCCTAGAGGAGAGAAATGAGACTGGAAAGGTGGAGAAGGTGGGGGTGACCCCTGAGCACTGGGTCAGACAGTTCTGAGGGCGAGAATGAAGGCCTGGGGTATGCCCACAACCTGACCTGATCTGTGCTTCTGGAAGACTAATAGTGTCACGGGAGCAAAACAGATTGAAGAGTGGAGAATGGTGGGGGGGGGGGGCTGATGAGTTCTGGAAAGAAGGGACAACAGACCCAAAAAGGAGCGTGGTGGTAGAGCTGACAGGAGGGAAGTGGGTGCTGTGCAAGTGGCAGCCATAGTCCTGGCAATGGAAGAGGACAAAGAGGGTCAAAGGCAGTGCAGAGATTCTGTTGGTTGCACAGAAAAAACATACAAGTTAACAAGAATAGCTTAAAGAACTTCCCTCCTTCCTTCCTTCCTCCCTTCCTTCCTTCTTTCTTTCCTTCCTTCCTTCTTTCTTTCCTGTCTGTGTCTTTCTCTTTCTTTCTCTCTCTCTCTTTCTTTCATGCCAGGAATCAAACTCAGAACCTTGTGCTTGCCAGGTGGGCACTGTGCCACTGACTTATATCCTCAGCCCTTTCTTTTGTTTTGTCTTTTTGAGACAGGATCTCGCTACGCTGTTCAGCCTGGCCTTGAGCTCACTTTGTAGCCCAGGCTGGTCTTGAATTTGTAACCATCCTCCTGCCTCAGCCTCCCGACTGCTGGGATCACAGGTGTGTGCCACCATGCCTGGCTCATTTTTACAAATGTGTTATTATCTTTAAGAACAAAGAAAGAGCCAGGATGTGATGCTGATGCTTAGTATCTTTTTACTTGATGTCAAAATGCAAGTTAATTTGCTCTTGTAAGCCCTTCCATACACCGTAATCTGGGTAAAGTTGAGCAACTTGACTTGGACTTAGGAGAAATGAAATTTTTCCAAATGGTTGCTGTGGTGCAAAATCAGCATAAAGTTTCTTGGTATCTATCATTCTGATTATCCCACTAATATTTCTAGAAATCGTCACGGAGCTCCAGAGTTTCACAAGCCCTAAATAGAGCAAATGGCAAATTTCAGGTACATTAACTTTGTTGATCATGAGCTGCAGATTCATATTGGAATAGAAAAGCATCACGTCTAATCCAAGTTTATTTTGAAAGTACAGTCAGTCCGCTTCATGGTTAAGGTGTTTTCTAATTGACTGAAACACCAGGCTGGCTGGTCTGTAAGCCAGCCTGTCAATACCCATTCTGAAAACAAGGGCAGCCCCGCCGCCTGCTCTTAGGCCAAGTGATTAACTGTGCATTGGTCATTTAGTGTAATAAATGTGAAGTCTGAGTGCCGCCCCAGGCCTCCCGCTGTGGAAATACCGCCCTCTCACCTCGGCAGGTCTGAGCAGGCCCAAGAAACTTATCTTAAAAGGGACAACAGTGAATACTGCTACAGTGCAATGTGGTGCAAAGGAGAGCCCAAAGCAGTTGACTGGACCAGCCAGGCAGTGTGTGGTGTGCTCTGACCACTGCCTCTCAGTCTGAAAGCAACCTACTTTCATGGGAAACAAAAGTGGACCCTTCAGTGATCCTTAAGCTCTCATTTTTTTAACATTTGACGTGTATGGGCTTTAATGAGTGTTACTTCTAGTTTAGGAGAAACACATGGATCCTAGTTTACAGGATGAGTGAAGGTTCCATTCTGAAAAATCCCTTCCCTGCTTTTAGGAATCAGAGCAGGAAGAAGAGTAGAGGCTGGGATGATAGAATCTATTTATCACTGGACAGCGGCACAGAGGCATTGCTTTTTGTTATCATTCCACAGCCAATTAAGGAAATGGGCTGCATTTAATTCACCCAATTTTGACTTTGTCAATTTATTAAACCAACAAAATAGCTGGTGTAGTCTGGTTATTAATCCTGGTTAATGTCTCTGCCTAGATTCTTTGATCCAGGTGATTGCTACTGTAAAAAGGATGTGGTATCACAGAAAATGCAGCAACTGTTTGATCAAAGTAAGCGCTGTCACTTGGGGCAGGGCATATTGAAATCAATGTCCTCACACATCTGCTTGTGATCCCCAGAAATTTGCCTCTGACCTGCATTAAATAGCTGTGGTTCTTGAGCTATTTAAGCCTGATTAAGGTGTTTGTTATGCATTTGCTGGTACACTGTGGTGCACTGTGTCAATTCCTAACTGTCATCGTTGTGATTAAAAAGGGTAGAAGAGAGTGACCCCTATGTGGGCAGTTTGCAATAAATAATAAGAATGCCACAAACCTCTACTCCAATCACTGAGTTTAGCCAAAGTGAATAAAAACCTTTGGAAGGTCTCTAACCAAAAAAATTCCTTAGCAAGTAATGCTGGATTTTCTTATCAATAATTACTTTCTGTTGTTCAGCTATTGTTAGGAAATCTTGTTATGAATGCAAACAAGAAGAATGTAGTTGACTTCAGAGAAGCAGCCCATCCAGGTGAGGGCTGGTGTAATTGGAAGTGTTTTAATTTGGAAAACAATTTATGCTGAGGAAGACAATCCAACCAAAACTTCGGCAATGAAACTAGTTCTATGCTGGGTTAAAAAAATCCTGTAAACCTGTAAAAGGACATGTTCAATGGCTCATTGTTTGCAAGTCCTAAGGAAGGGACAAATGGCAGCAATTAAAGTGTTTCTTATCTGGAGAGCTGTAAAGACCAGCAGAGTAATGTCAAGCAACCAGTATACCTGACTTATTCACTGAGCTGTCTGGGACACTCTTCTTCTGTGGAAGCATACTTTTTAGCGATGATGAATAACAACATTAGGTTAACAACAGGAATAACAAATGTTAATTACACCCTCTACTGAAAATTCTCTGTGACTTGGGCACTCTGCTGAATGCTTTGCATGAATTTTTTTTTCTCCTAACATCAACAACCCAGGTTGATAGTATTTTTACATTTTTCAAAAGAGGGAAAGGTTAAGTAACAGGCCTTGCATGGTGTGTGATGGGTTTGGCCTTCAGTTTAGGTGGTCTGACTCTTGTTCCGGGTCTTCCCTCCATTATGCTATAATTCCTTCCTAAATGCAATGCGTGGGGACAGATTTTTAAAAAGAAGATGCTGTTTAATCATGTCAAGATTCTTAAAGTCATGATGTTTATAAAAGGATTATCATTCATTCATTTAAGAAATATTTATGAAGTATCTGCCACGTGCCTAGCACCACTGATGTTAAGCAAGTGAAAGATTAGGTAGGATTCTGATTTTAGAAAATCTTGTGTCAGCAGGACTAATTTAAGTAAAGGTACGACTCTATTCATACTCATCTCTGCAGGGCGTAGTCATGATCTTTATGCTTTTAATGTGCAAAATAACCATGAATGTAGATTTCCATGCCATGAACTCTAGGATTTGGTTTGCGTAACTGGATGGGTAGTGAGGTCTGTATGCCATGCCGTGAGCTCTAGAACCTGGTTTTTTATTTTTCCAAAGTGGAAATAACTTCTATTTTTGTGCCCGATTGTAAAACAAAGAAGGCAATGCATAATACCATGAAGAACACGAAATCTTCCAAAATCCTTGTCCAGCAACAGTCATTATTAGTGCTTTTTGTTTTTATATTTCTAATTTCCGTCAAAATTTTTCATTTTCTTTTTTCAGAAACTGAGATATAATGTCCTCAGTGTTTCATACCCTACCCATATACCTACTAATGATACCACCTTTCTGTTGTGTCAAAAAATATATACATTTAGAAAATCAGTTAATTCTACATAGTATTTTATTTAGCCATACTTTATTTTGACAATCCTTTAATGGCCAATTAAACTGTTCCTAGTATTTCTATATTTTTGTAAACAACTTTTAATTGACTCTTGTATATAATTTTCTTTACTCTCCCTCATCCTGAAGAGTAATTTCCAGTAATAGAATTGCCAAGCAAAAGGCCACGCTCATCTTTGGAAAGATCTTTGCTAAAAGTTTACAAATTATTTTCTAGACAGTTTGTAGTAATCATGTCTCTGAGAAGTATTGCCTGAAACTGCCTACTTCCAAAGCTCTTGATGGTCAACACAGTGAAAATAATGGCTAACATTTAGACAGGATTTGATCAAAATAGTGTTATAAAATACATTATGTTATTTCATGTGTGCCTTACGACTCCATGAGGTCAATGAGGGCAATTTATTATACTCAGTTTATGGCCAAGGGAGTCAGGGTTTTGAAAGGCAAGACTCGTTTTGAGGCTGTACCCTCCTGGGGTGACCTCCTGCCCAGCACAGGGACGCCTGTGCAGCTCTCCCCCACTTTTCCTTTCAGCAGGGCCTGGCAGAGGCCTGTGTTACCCAAGAGCAGAGCCCACCCCACTAGGGCTGATGCCAGAACCTCAGGGCAGCCAGGGAAGAGGTGAGCATGGAGTAACCCTTTGCCGCTGGCTCCAGGCTCTCCCTCGTCTGCAGCCACTGAGACTAATGAATCAGACATGATTACAGCGGTAAAAATCCGAATGCAGATTTTTG